GAGGAGGAGGAGGAGGAGGAGGAGGAGGAGGAGGAGGAGGACCAGTGTAAACCCAGGACTTATCACCGATATTTGAATACATGCTCCCTCCAAGCTCCCTCTTCACAGGGCCCGGCGAGGGTTCATGCCCACTGAAGGAAGTGCCCCGTTGGGAGAGAATAGTTTGAAGACGCTGAAGCATGTCAGAACATGGTTCTCAGAATTCCAGCGCCACGGAACAACCTGACCGTTGCGTCTTGACGATCTTTAATCGTGCCAGATTGCCGTTCCTGGGACTTCAGCACCTCGAATCAACTTATCTGTTGCGCCCTAGCAGTCCTGAATTATTCTAGACGCCAGTAGCTGGTACGTTTTCCACGGGGATCCGAGACACTCTCTCAAATGTTTAAGACGAGTGTACGCGGCGCTAAGGCGAGAGTCACCTCTTGAAAACGAAGCGCCCTCAATCCGCCAACCATTTGCAACTGTTTAAGACGAATGAATGTGCGCGAAGCTTGGGCGAGAGCCACATTTTGAAAAGGTACCGTCCTCAATCAATGAAGCTCCAGCAATTTTTCAGCACGGTTCGCGGCGATGAACTGGGAGCAACATTTTGAAAACGACCCGCCCTCAATCCGTGAAGCTCCTGCAGTTCTTTCCAGCGAGTATGCGCCGTGCGAAGGCGAGAGACACATTTTGAAAACGACCCGCCCTGAACCCGTGAACTCTAGCACATGTTTAGACGAGTGAGCGCGGCGCGAAGGCGAGCGCCACATGTTGGAAACGACCCGCCCTCCATATGTAGAGTTGTTGCCCCATCGACAACAATGAGGACGTATGGGTGAAACGCCAGGTCCGCCCTTCTGATTGGCTTCGGGCGCGACAGGGATGATTTACTTATCAAGAAAACAAGTGGAGGAGGAGGAGGAGTAGGAGGAGGAGGAGAAGCAGTGTAAACCCAAGAACCATCAACGCTGTTGGAATCAACCCTCCCTCCAAGCTCCCTTTCTACTGCCCCCTGCAACGGTTCATTTCCACTGAGGGAATTGCCTCGTTGGGAGAGAACAGTTTGAAGACCCTTAAGCATGCCAGAACATGGTTCTCAGGATTCTAACGCCACGGAACAATCTGACCGTTGCGTCTTGACGATCTTGTATTTTGCCAGAACGCCATTTCTGGGACTTCAACACCGCGAACCAAGGTAATTGTTTTACCCTCACGGTCCTGAATCACTCCAGAACGCCACTCTCGATACGACGATCATGGGAATCCGTGAAGCCCTTCCAAATTTTCAGAACGAATGTGCGCGACGCTAAGACGAGAGCCACATTTTGAAAACCACCCGCCCTCCATCCGTGAACTTTTGCACATTTCCAAAACGAATAGACGCGGCGCTAAGGCGAGAGCTTCATTAAACAACCACCGCCCTCAATCCGTGACGCTCTTGCAAATTGTCAGAACGAATTGTGCGCGGCGCTAAGGCGAGAGCCACATTTTGAAAACCATCCGTCCCACATCCGTGCAGCACTTGCAACATTTCAGAACCAATGTTCGCGGCGCTAAGGCGAGAGCTAGATTTCGAAACCATCCGCCCTCGATCCGTGAAGCTTTTGCAAATCTTTGAAGCGAATGAGCGCGGTGCTGCGGCGAGAACTGCATGTTGAAAACAACCCGCCCTCAATCCGTGAAACCCTCGCATATTTTAAGAAACGAATGTGCGCGGCGCTAAGGCGAGAGCCACAATCTGAAAACCATCCGCCCTCAATCCGTGCAGCTCTTGCACACCTTAATAGCGAATGTGAGCGGCGCTACTGCGAGAACCACATTTTGAAAACCACCCGCTGAAACTCTTGCATTCATATACATATATACATGTATATATATACACATATATTTATATACCTATCTGTCTATATTTGTATGCATGTTTATATACATATATATATATGTATATACGAAGTGTGCGCGGCGCTAAGGCGAGAGCCATATTTTGAAAACCACCCGCCCTCCATCTGTGAAGCTGTTGTATGTTTAAGCTTCAGGGCCATAAATGGTGAGACAGTCTCACGCGAAACGCCCGGCCCGCCTTAAACACTGGCCTCAGGGTGCGACAGGGCGGGTTATTATCAGGACAAGGAATAGAGGAGGAGGAGGAGGAGGGAGGAGGAGGAGGAGGAGAGAAGGAGGAGGAATGGAGGAGGAGGAGGAGGAGGATGAGGACAGGAGGAGGAGGAGGAGGAGGAGGAGGAGGAGGACTAGAGGAAGAGGACTTGAGGAGGAGGAGGGACGACGGAGGATGGAGGAAGGAACGGCCGGGTTTGGCCGCGCCCTCTGGGGTGGCGAGGAGAAGGCGCTGCCCTGCGGTCTGCTGCCCTCGCAGGTCGCCGCCCCCGAGCCCCTCGCACCTCCATCCTCCTCTCTTCGTCCTCCACGCCCTTCGTCCTCCTCCTCCTCCTCCTCCTCCTCCTCCTCTTGGCGACGCTGCTGGACTTGGGCTGGGACTCGGCCACGCGTTGGCATC